GAAAATCCCTAAGGAGACAGACTTAAAGTGATGACTGAAGGTTATACGAAAACCTACTGTTTTCCAGTACAAGGTCGAGGGCTTTATAAATAGTTTTCAAAAATTACCCCGTCTGCCAAAATGTTTGGTCACACCTGTGTCAGTTTTAGCTCTGGTCTTCCCTCTCCCGTGGTGATCTATCTTTACTTCTTGTAATTCCTCCCATGTCTCTAAGCTAAGAGATGAGAAAAATCTGCTGTAGCCCACATGTGCACCATATTTTATGTTGCCTCGCTCCTGCTCTGAAATGCATGTTCTCATGAATAAAGGAACCAAAAGCCAGCAGGTTTGCTACCCACTGGCATTGGTACCTAGACTGACCAGAGAACAAAGCTGCCAATTTCAGGGAGATTGCTTCAAAACCTAGAAATGTAGGGTGAGCTAAATCAATTGTATTGCTACCATCCATCTAAATTACCCAGGCTGGCCTGCAAATCTTCAGATTTTATGTTTAGATTTTCATTTTTTTTTTCAGGTCATAGATGTAATAATGCTCACAGTAAAAACTCAAACAATATAGAAATATACTAAATGGAATTATAAAAGGCCATTGAAACATGTATACTCCCTGCCTTCAAGATAACCATCATTCATATGTTAATGTCTATACATAGACACACACACGCGGAACATTTGATTTTTTTGTTTTTGGAGACAGGGTCTTGCTCTGTCACCCAGGCTAGAGTGCAGTGGCATCATCGCAGCTCATGGCAAACTCAAACTCCTAGTCTCAAGTGATCCTCCTGCCTTGGCCTCCCAAAGGTCTAGGATTACAGGCATGAGCCACTGTGCCCAGGCTGGAGCTTTTGATTTTTAAATAAAAGTGGGAACATACCGAACCTTGTAGTCTAAATAAACTTTTGAATGAATATATGGGAACTTGGTCATTTATTCAACAAACACTGAGGGCCTACTATATATATGCCAGGCACTGTTCTAGAAGTGGGACGTGCAGAAGTGGAGCAGAGAATGTCTCTGTTCGTGGAATCTGTATGTATTCTCAGGGGATGGATACTATCCATATGAATACATATAGATTTTTAACTCCTATATAGTGTTTTTTTTTTTTATTTCAGCATATTATGGGAGTACAAATGTTAAGGTTACATATATTGTCCATGCCCCCCTCCCCCCATGAGTCAGAGCTTCAAGCATGACCATCCCCTAAACGTTGTACATCTCACTCATTATGATTGTATATACCCATCCCCTCCTCCCCCTCCCACCTGCCCGGCACCCAATAAATGTTATTCCTATATGTCCACTCTGGTGTTGATCTGTTAATACCAATTTGCTGGTGAGTATATGTGGTGCTTGTTTTTCCATTCTTGAGATACTTCACTTAGTAGAATGGGTTCCAGCTCTATCCAGGAATATACAAGAGGTGCTATACACCATTGTTTCTTAAAGCTGAATAGTACTCTATGATATACATATACCACATTTTATTAATCCACTCATGTATTGATGGGCACTGGGGTTGTTTCCACAATTGTGAATTGTGCTGCTATAACTATTCAAGTGCAGGTGTCTTTTTTGTAGAGTGTCATTTGATCTTCTGGGTAGATGCCCAGTAGTGGAATTGCTGGATCAAATGGTAGATCTACTTGTATCGCTTTAAGGTATCTCCATATTGCTTTCCACAGAGGTTGAACTAGTTTGCAGTCCCCAAACTCCTATATAGTGTTGTATCCTATTGCAGTAAACATGCAAACTAACAAATAAGATCCACTTAGATAGTGGCAAGTGCTATGAAGAAAATTTAAAAGGGAGAGTGAATGAGAATGAATAGACAGAACTGGGATCACAGGGAATATGTCTGAGGACATAGTATTGGACCAATGAGTTTGATATTGAGTAATAAGAAGGCAGCCTAGGCGAACAGCTGAGGGAAGAGCACTCCAGGTGGTGGGAAGAGTAAATGCAATGGCAAGACCAAAAAAGCTGGGTGTGTTCAAAGCACAGGAAATCAGTATTATGTCTGCAGGTTGATGAGCATGGGAAAGTGGGAGGAGTTGAGATAAGAGAAGTAGGCAGGGGCCAGATCAAGTCAGCTCCTTAGGTCAAGTCAGGATTTATTATTGCAGAGGTGGAATTGCAAATCCCTGAGAAAAGAGTGCTGTGGGGGCAACTGGCTTTTCGTATTTAAATAAGATACCTATGCCAGTTTATAAATAAGAATAAATTCCAGATGGACAACACTCCCCATATACAAAGTTAAAAGAGTAGAACAAAATAAGGAAAGATGCTTACAAGGTAGCTATGGGAAAGACAATCAATACCCAAAATGTAGGATGAATTCTTACTGATCAACAAAACTAATAACCAAATAAGAAAATGACCAAAGGATAGGAACTGGCAATCCATGGAAGAAAAAAGTGGAATGACCCATAAACAGGAAAAGATGATTAGGCTTACTAAACACTGGGGAAATGCCATTGAAAACAAAATGAGGTGCCATTTCATAGTCATCCAGATTGGGAAAAACCTGGGGGTCCTACAATAACAAGAGCTGAAGATCCCTTGTTCATGAAGTGCTAGTGGGCATGGAAATTGTAGCTACTTTGGAGATAAGTTGGCATGTCTGAGAAAATGAATATGTCATTTCTGGTGTGGGCCGGGGAGAAACCCTTGTACATAGGCAGCTAGACATGAATATGAGGATGCTCAGAGCTCGTGTTGTTTGTAGTGGTGGAAAAACTAGGGGAAAGAAACTCAACTAAATTTGCATATATAAATGGAATGAATAAATAAAATGTAGACAATTATCCAATGGGATACAATACTATACAGGAATTTAAAAGAATGAACTAGATTGATTGATTCATTGATCTCCCCATCTATGCATCTGTCTTTGTATCTATCTATGTCTTTTCTAACTAGTTAGCTACCTAGCTAGCTATACATGGATACTGACCACAAACACAAAACTGAACATAAAACACAAGTACAGACTGCTGCATACAGATAATATAGTGCTATTTGTTTTAGTTAACAAGAACACACAAAAGAATATTCTATCTATTCTTAGCAAACTACAACTACATCTTGCCCACCACCTGTTTTTGTACAGCCTATAAGGTAAGAGTAGTTTTTACATTTTTAAATGGCTGGAAAACAATTTTTTAAAGAATAATATTTTATGATGCATGAAAATAATATAAAATTCAAATTTCTGTGTTCATATATGGAATTCTGTTGGAACACAGCCAAGCCCATTCTTTTACGTGTTGTCAATGAGCTGTTTTTGCTACAAGGGCAGGGTTGAGTAGTTGTGGCAAAGACCATAGGGATTGCAAAACCTAAAACATGCATTACTTGGTGCTTTACAGAAAAATATTTGTAGATCCCAATTCCATATTATTCATGGACATTATTTTTTGGATAGCCAGAGGCAAATACATTGAATTCATGATGGTGGCAACCTGCAGAACAGGAAGGAAGGGGAGTAGGACAGGGGATGGGTGTCAAAAGGTACCATAACATCTGTGAATCTGAAAAAATGTCCCAATTGTCAATTCTGCCTCATGGGGATACAAGTGATTAATGTATTAAGTCCTTCTACTTTTCTGTACTTTTAAAAGCCTCAGAAAGGCTAAAAAGAAAAATATATGTTATAGACATTATTCTGTATCAATGCATACAAATCTATTACATGTGATTTAGTAGCTGGATAGTAGTCAGTTTTATAGATAAATGTCTAAGTCCCTTATTTATGAACATTTAAGTTTTTCCAGTTTCCAGTATCGCAAACAGTACAGCAATATCTTCAGATTATATCTTCAAGTGTTTGTGTTATTATTTCCACTGAACAAAATCCTAAAAGTAAAATTTCTCAGCCAAAAGAAAATAAACTTTTAAAATTTTGATACATGATGCCAAATGGCTGTTCCAAAGTTATGCATCAAGTTGTTATGTTGAAAATACAGTAAATATTATTGTTATTATTGCCAGATTGGTAGGTGACAAGAGGTAAAAGTCATTCTTTGTTTTAATTTGAGGCTCAGGACATCTCCATGAATTTACAGACTATCTGATTTATTTTTACTGCAATGCCTCTTCAGGTTCTTAGAGCTTTTTTCTATTGAATTTTAGTCTTTTACTCATTGATTTGGGGGCTCTTACATATTAAATATATTGATCCTTTTCTTGAAAAAATTTTTACTTGTATTTTCATTGATTAACTTTATTAATAATAGTCTGCCACTTAGAAAACTTTAAATTGGATGCAGTCACTGTAAAAGTTTTTCCTGGTTTTTTCTTTTCTTTTTTTTTTTTTTTGGTCAGAGTCTCACTCTGTTGCCTGGGTTAGAGTGCCACGGCATCAGCCTAGCTCACAGCAACCTCAAACTCCTGGGCTCAAATGATCCTTCTGCCTCAGCCTCCCAAGTAGCTGGGACTACAGGCATGTGCCACCATATCTGGCGAATTTTTTTCTATATATTTTTAGTTGGCCAATTAATTTCTTTCTATTTTTAGTAGAGACGGGGTATGGCTGTTGCACAGGCTGGTTTTGAACTCCTGACCTTGAGCGATCCGTCCACCTTAGCCTCTCAGAGTGCTAGGATTATAGGCATGAGCCACCGTGCCCGACCTCCTGGCTTTTTCTTTACTTTCTGCATAGTGTGTGATCTGCTGAGAGAGTTGCTTAGGTAACTATTGAGCTCTACCATGTCCCAGAACCACTGGTCCATTCTAGAGTTATGTGGGGTTGACAATGCTCTTGGGGTAACGAGATACCTTTCTTCTGCTCCAGAGGACATATGGCCCTACTCCAAATGTTTTGCCCCACGTCATTCAGTGGGTTAGGAAAACAGAAACCACTTTGAATACTACAAGTAGGGAGGAATTTCATACAGAGGCTGAGAGGTTTTCAGGGCCATTGGAAAGGCAGAGATGTAGAGGTCAGGAAAGTTACTGCCTGAGTATCAAGGAATCTGCAAGTTCAGGGATGACAAGACTTGATCTCAAAGCCCAAAGCACCAAGGAGCTGATTGTCAGGAGGCTATTTGGGAGCTGCTGGAAGAATATCACATCTGTCACTGCCGATACCCTTGTGCTGCCCACAGCTGAAAATGATGGCATGCTCTCTTTTCCTCTTCCCATATCTCTCCTGAGCCATTCATTCATCCAGAATCCTGCTCATAAGAGAGTTTGGGAAATGTATTTTCCAGGTTTTTGGCCCTTGCCATACAGAGGAGAGATTAGAAGGGCAGAAGTGGTGCTGAGCACCGACAGATATTTCCTGGAGGTTGTTTTCAGTGAAGGTCAAATCAAATTAAATCAAAAGCATTCTCCATGCATGGAAGGGTCATTGAGCACCCTTATGCCATAGATAGTACTAAGCACTGTTGGATTATTTGGCATGAAAGTATCTTGTTTAGAAAAGGAAAGTGAGAAATTAGGGAAAGGTCTTCACAATCAACCCAAATATATCTTACTTATTTAAAATTTTGTGAAATTGCAATGTTAGATTTAAAGTCAGAGAATTGATAAAAATAATAAAACAATTTTAAAAAGGTGATTGTTGACTTCAGAGATCAATGAAAGGATCACACACCTAGGTCAAAACTCATCTTAGTAAATAGAGCCTTGGAACAGTGGACATCTTCTCTATTAGGATCCTTGAGCTGGGTATGAAATTAATGAAGTCCATTCATTTGTATTCTTGGTCCAGAAGAGGTATGTTGCTGAAAAATAACCACAGTTCATCCTATTAATATAATAGCAGAAAAGATGCCTCAGGGACCACACAGGCAGAGTTGTATCATTTTATCTAGCAAAGGAAGGCCCAGCATGGAGCTGGTTTCTTTTTTTTAATTTTCCTCTATAATTTATTTCCTTCCTCACAGAAGACAGCTTTTCTTAAGTCCTTTTAAGATCTCATTTAACATTTGAATTTTTGAGGTGCCAATCTTCTTTTCACAGCTTTTTAACAGTTTAGAAATTTCACAACTGCAGTAGTACTTTGTCCCTGTACTTACCAAAGCCACATTGACAATCTCGTGAGGTGTCACTGATTTCATTCCTGAGTGCCACAAATCACTAATAATAACATATTATACGACTCTGTCTGCAAAATCCTTTCTGATTCTTGAGCTTAAGTTTCCAGGTTTATAATTAAGAGATTTTTTTTTTTAAGTTATGGACTTTCAGCTGGATTGCTACAAGATTTCTGTAGTGTGTGACTTCCCAGCTTGTAAAGAACTTTCACGTTCATTAACCTCATGTGACCTTTGCAACTTTATGACCACCAGTGAAAGAAGAAGTATTCTCAGCTTCATTTTAGAAGACATTAAAACTCCAAAAGATTAAATAAATTGCCCAATGTTACCCAAGTGGTGGCAAGATTCTTCAGCTCTGAATTCTATAATCTTTCAAGTTGCCTGGACATAAATAGTAATGTTTATATTTTCCATTTTAGGCTATGAACTGTAAGATGCTCTAATTCTTTGCTAGTTGTGTGCACTTTAGGTGAGAATTTCCAGAGCTTGCTTTTTTTTAAAAAAAAAAAAAAGTCCAGAAACATCAAAAGCATAAGAGTTTTAAGAAAGAAATTTGTTACTTTATTACTAACATGTCAAAATGTAAATTTTACATTAAGAATGAGGGTATATAATTCGTTCTTTAAAAAGTCTGTAATTGTAACTAAACTCAATTGAAGGTTTAATTACATGTTTCTTTTGGCCTTACTTAATAGGAGTTAAAAGTTAGTTTTGTAATGTGTTTATTATAGAGTCAAGGAAGAAAAATAAAATGCATATCATAGGAAACACATACAAGTAAGATGCCCTAGTGCAAATGTCTTTAGAAATTCATTAGTTATGACTGATAAAGCTCCAGTTAAAACTGGACAGTTAGAACCATATGTGAAATAAGTTTACTGGGAAATCAAGAGTGGAAAAAAAAAGATATCTGCTTTTTATTAAGAGCTGAAGTGTGTTATAATTGTGTGGAGTTCTACCCAGATGGTCTCCCTCATGCTGACATCTGCAAAGTATATGTAAGATTGTGTTGGGGTGTTATCTTCTGTGGCTGTGTAGACACATGTTACTCAGTTAAAAATCAATACCTTGAAGTCCTTCTTGCTGATTCGTGCTAATGCACGCTGAGAAGCCTGTGTGTTTCAGACCACAGGAAGTCTCATGTGTTCGGGACCAGGGAGAATCTCATGAGTTTCACTATTGGAAAAAATTTGAAGTTTTTTAGAAATCATAAATATTTGCTCTTTAATTTGAAACAAAGCAATAACTGAAGTGTAGATTCAAGATTATCAGTGTCTAAATTAAGTTTACAGTGTAGTTATCTCTGAAATGGGAAACTTAAAATCTTTGTTTTAAGTTGTGAAATGTCATGTTCATATACATATTTTAATTTCCTATTTATCTAATGAAAGTCATCTTTCAGCTTAGACTTAATCAAAGAGAAATCCCTCTTTGTGTGAATATTGATTTTCAAGAATGTTTTTAAATTGACAAATAAAAATTGGTCTATAGCCATACCACCCTGGACGTGCTCAATCTCATCTCATCTCGGAAGCTAAGCAGGGTTGGGTATGGTTGGTAATTAAGTGGGAGACAAATAAAAATTGTATTAATATATATTTATGGTGTACAACGTGATGTTTTGATAAAGGTATATATTGTGGAATGATTAAATCAAGCTAATTAACAGCTCTATCACTGAACACAGTTACATTTTTTGCACGTGTGGGTTAAGAACATTTAAAATCTATTCTCTTAGCAATTTTCAAGTATACGATACATTATCGTTAATTATTGTCACCGTGATATACAATAGATCTCCAGAATTTATTAATCCCAAGTGAAACCTTGTACCCTTTGACAGACATCTCTTCCCCACAACCCCTGCAACCCTCCACCCCTGTGACTACCATTCTACTCTCTGCTTCTCTTTGTTTTAGATTCTACATATAAGTGAGATCATGCAGCATTTGTCTTTTTGTGTCTGGCTTATTTCACTTAAAATAATATCCTCAGGTCATTCATGTTGTCGCAAACGACAGGATTTCTTTCTTTTTTAAGGCTAGTGTTAAGTGTTCCACAGCGTATACACCATATCTTCTTCTATATCCATTTGTTTGTTGATGGACACTTCAGATGGCTCCATACCTTGGCTATTGAAAATAATGCAGTAATGAACATGGGAGTGCAGATATCTCCTCCACATACTGATTTCATTTCCTTTAGATATATACTCAGATGTGAGATTGCTGGATCATATAGTAATTCTATTTTTAATTTTTTGAGGAACCTCTATTTGGTTTTCCATAATGGCTGTACTAAATTATATTCTCACCAAGAGTATACTAGCATTCCGTTTCTCTACATCCTCCACAGTACTTGTTATCTTTTGTCTTTTTCATAATAGCCATTCTAACAGAGGTGAGGCGGTATCTCATAGTGGTTTTAATTTGCATATCCCTAATGGTTAGTGATTTTTTCATATATACCTGTTGGTCATTTATACGTCTTTTGTAAAATATCTATTCAGGTCCTTTGTCCAGTTTTTAATCAGATTATTTGATTTCTTGCTATTGAGTTGTTTCAGTTCCTTATATATTTTAGATATTAACCCTTTATCAGATATATGGTTTGGAAATATTTTCTCCCCTTCTGTATGTTGTCTCTTTACTTTGTTCATTGCTCCCTTTGCTGCACAGAAACTTTTCAGTTTGATGTAATCCCATTTGTCTATTTTTGCTTTTGTTGCCTGTACTCTGGAGGTCATAACCAAAAAACTTTTGCCAAGACCAAAGTCAAACAGCCTTTTCTCTTTGTTTTCTCCTATTAGCTTTATAATTTGGGATCTCACATTTAAGTCTTTACTCCATTTTGAGTTGAATTTTGTATAGGACAAGATAGGGTCTAATTTCATTGTTCTGCATGTAGATATTTCCAATTTGGATGCCTTCCATTTCTTTTTCTTGTCCAGTTGTTCTTGCTAGTACTTCCAATACTATGTTGACTAGACGTAGCAAGAGTGGGCATCCTTGCCTTATAGTGAGTCTTAGAAAAACTCTCAGTTGTTTCCCATTGATCATGATGCTATCTGTAGGTTTTTCATAAATGGCCTTTATTATGTTGAGGCACTTTTTTTCTATACCTAAGTGGTTAAGAGCTTTTATCAAGAAAGCATGGTAAACTTTGTCAAATGCGTTTTTTGCATCAATTGAGATGATCATGTGTTTTTTATCTTTCATTCTGTTAATGTGATGTGACACATTGATTGATTTGCATATCTTTAACTAGGCTTGCATCCCAGGGATAAATCACTCTTGGTTATGATATATAATCTTTTTGATGTGTCATTGAATTTGGTTTGCTTATATCTTATTGAGTAATTTTTGCATCAATGTTCATCAGAGATACTGGCCGGTAATTTTCTTTTCTTGTGGTTCCTTTGTCTGACTTAGGTATAAAGGTGATACTGACCTTGTAAAGTGTGCTTAAAAATATTCCCTCTAGCTCTATATTTTTGGGAAGAGTTTAAGAAGTATAAGTAATAATTCTTTGAATGTCTGTTGGAATTAGCTGTGAAGCCATCTGGTCCTGGGATTTTCTTTGTTGAAACGTTTTTAATTACTTCTTCAATCTCTATTTGGTATTGGTCTGTTCAAGCTCTCTATTTCTTCCTGATTCAATTGTGGTAGGTTATAATTTTGTAGGAATTTATCCATTTTTGCCAGGTTATCTACTTGGTGGGCTCATACAGCCATGCATTGCTTAATGATGGGGACATGTTCTGAGAAATGCATCTTTGGGTGATTTCATCATTGTGTGAACACAGTACTGTGTACCTGGGCCAACCTAGATGGTGTAGCCTACTACACACTTAGGCTATATGGTATAGCCTATTGCTCCTAGGCTACAAACCTATATAGCATGTTTACTGTACTAAGTACTGCAGGGAGTTGTAATACAATGGTACGTATTTGTGTATCTAAATATATGTAGACATAGAAAAGGTACAGTAAAAATAAACTATAATCTTACAGGACCACTGTAATATATGCAGTCTGCCATTGACTGAAATATCATCGTACAGCTCAGGATTGCAGTTGTTCATACTCGTCGCTTATGATCCTTTTAATTTCAGAGACATTTGTTGTAATGTCTCTACATTCATTTCTGATTTTATTTATTTGAGTCTTTCATCTTTTTTTCTTAGTCTAGCTAGGAGTTTGTTGATTTTGTTTATTTTTTCAGAGAACCAACTCTTGATTTTATTGATTTTTTCCTATGGTTTTTCTGTGCTCCTATTTGATTTATTTCTGTTCTGATCTTTATTATTTCCTTCCTCCTGCTATCTTTGGATTTAGTTTGTTTTTCTTTTTCTAGCTCCTTGCGGCATAATGTTAGGCTATTTATTCAGGATCCTCATTCATTTACAATGTAGGCATTTATTGCTGTAAACTTTCATTTTAGAACCACTTTTGCTGCTCCCATACATTTTGAAATTTTGTGGGTACATTATTGTTTATCTCAAGATATTTTTAAATTTCCCTTTTAATTTCTCCTTTGAACCATTGGTTGTTCAGGTATATGTTGTTTAATTTCCACATATGTGTGAATTTTTCAAGATTCTTCTTGTTATTGATTTCTAGTTTCATACCGTCATGGTAAGAAATAACACTGGATATGATTTTAATCTTCTTGGATTTGTTAAGACTTGTTTTGTGGCCTAACATATGGTCTATCCAGGAAAATGTTCTATGTTGTCTATAAAAGAATGTATATCCTGCTTCTGTTGAATGGAAAGGTGTGTGTATATATATATACACATTAGATCCATATATTATTAGATCTATATATAGATACTAAAGTGCAGTTCAAGTTCAATATATCCTTTTTAACTTTCCATCTGGGTGATCTATTCATTGTTGAAAGTGGGGTATTGAAATCCCCACACTATTATGGTATCATTATCTGTTTCTTCATTCATGCCCACTAATTGCTTTATATATTTACATGTTCCAACACTGAGTTCAAATATATTTATCATTGTTATATCCTCTTGATGAATTGATCCTTTTATAATATCATTAAATAATGACCATCTTTGACTCTTGTAATAGTTTTTTACTTAAATTCTATTATATCTGATATAAATATAGCCACCCTTGCTCTCTTATGGTTACTATTTGCATGGAATATCTTCTTCCCTCCCTTCACTTTCAGCCTATTTGTGTCCTAAAAGCTAAACTGGGTTTCCTGTTGACAGCATAGCATTGGATATTATTTTTTTAAAAACTTATTCAGCTACTCTATGTCTTTTGATTAGAGTTTAATCCATTTACATTCAAGGTTGTAATTTATAGGTAAGGAATTAAATCACTTTGTTAATTTTTTCTGGTTGTTTCTACAACCTTTGATCTTTTTTTCCTCTCTTGTACAGTTTTGTTAAATGATTATATGGTTTTTGTCTTTCATCCTGTTAATGAGGTATAACATTTATTGATTTGCATATTTTGACCCACCCTTGCATCCCAGGAGTAAATCTCACTTGATCGTGGTAAATGATCCTTTCTGTGTGCTGTTGAATTTGTGTTGCTAGTATTTTGTTGAGGATTTTTGCATCCATGTTCATCAGGGATATTGGCCTATAATTTTCTTTTTTT